AAAAAAAAAAAACTGATCTGTCTCAAGTATTACTGGCATGCAGAATTTTTTTTGAACTTTTAAAAATATAAAAAACTCTAACCTCTTTTAATAATACCCCTGTACTTGTTTATAACAGAGAACATCAATAGCTTTGTTGCAAAATTTGGGAGAATGTATGAGTGCTATATGGATCCATTAGGTGTTTGTATGTATGGAAGGGAGGAAACGTGGATATATGGTCTTTCGAATTCCTCTTATCTTGCTCTCCCAGTCTGGGAGGTTCATATTGTTTTTTTAAGCTTTACTTTTGTTTTTCTTCTAGCAAATCGGTTTACATTTCTATCATGGGTGATGATAAATCCCACACCTAAGTGGCTATATTCACACATTTCCCAAAAGTTGTTAAATCCACACCAGTATCAAAGTAATATTAGTGGGTGTTGATTTAACAAAATTAGGTGAAAGGTATGGATATAATTATTTAGAAGGTGGATTTATAAACACCCTATTATTATTGTTGTTGTTATTATTATTATTATAATTATTATTATACTTGCACCAAATCACCTATATTTTCGCGCTAAGCAAATGTGGAGCGAACTGTGGCTTGCAAGTTACTCCATATATTACGGAGTAATTGCATAAGACACCACAACAATGAAAGATCTACTCCGTACATAGTAAAATCACAACGTTGGATTCCGAGTGTGTATGCACACTTAGGACAAATAATTGGTTTTCGAGGGCTTGTTACATGATATTTCTAAACAAATAAACGTAGTAAAAGAAAAGGCAAGCAAGAAGAGAAGCTTAACTGCTTTGGAGAGTACACCTAGTTGCAACAAACAATAGTGAGTTCCACATAAGTGACAGACCACTCCCTCTCCATCCCTTAGGCTTGAAGTTAAGGTTATATCTTTTGTTTGCTTCTGAATTTATGAAACATGTGTAGCCTCTCTCCTAACTATTTATAGGTCAACCCCCTTCTCTTTAATTTCAAACCTCTTGCATCTCCATTTTGGAGTATTGGTATTTTTTTCTCGCATGTGCCAAACCATCTTTCTTAGTTTAACTCCGTTGAAGCATGTTGGCGTAGTGACAAGAAAGCCACCGATTGATGAATTTCATGGGTATGAGACTCTGCAAGAAAAATGCCTTTTAGCTTGAGTACAGACCGCCATTAAAGTCTTCGTAATTAATTACAAATAATGATGGTACTCAGATCACTACTAAAAAAGTAAATTTTGTCGCAGGTTATAATAATAGATTATAAAACCGTGACAGCGTTTGTCACGACTTTTGTAGCCTCTAGGGTCGTGAAAAACTAACAGCGTTGCATTAACTGCTATCTCATTTGTCACAACTTTTCACCGTGATAACATTTAAATCCAAAATTTTCAAATTTAAAATTTAAAAATCATTTTAAGGGACCTCATTTTTTTAAACTTAAGGTTTGTCGCGGATCACGTCCGTGACAAACTCAATTTTAAAAAAAATTGCGGGTGCACAACATTCGTGGATTTATCTTTTAAATTTTTTTGGTTGAATATTTTAAAAAACATTTTATTTAAAAAAGGTTTATTTAAAAACTATAATATAAATTAACAATTAGAATAAATGATAAGGAATCAGCGTCGGCCCAATGGGGGGACAAACAGGTGTGTGTGTGTGTGTGTGTATATATATATATATATATATATATATATATATATATATATATAGGGGTTGGTTCTAATAAGAATGAGTCACTACGAAAGAAATAAGAATAAACAGCATCCATTAGATCTGATGAAACTTACGGCTTGGATTTAACTATGGAATTCAATTTAATTTTGGTAACTAATAAATAGGGTATATTCAAAATTGGAGATATTCTCTTACAGGGGCAAATTAGGAACATAGGTGCACCACTTTCCCACGTCTAAACTGCTAGGATTAATTATCATGAATAGAAGTCTTCCTTTCTCAAGATATCCTAATTAAATTAGCCGGCTGTATTCACACCGCCTACAGAGAAGACCTAATCGAGACGATTCCGAAAGCGATGATTGTCGACAAGTAGCCTACAGGTGCACGATTTTCTTGAATTTCAACATTTGGAAATTAGGTGCGTATCACTATTACATTCATGAACACCCTCATTATCTCGATCAACAAGATTCTTGCATTTGAAGAGATTATCATTCTCTTAACTCCTTTTCCCCTCTCTACTATTTGAAGTTGGTGATGCATTTTGATAGTGATATGTGCATCTGCATTTTGTTCTTAACCCTTGTAGGAGATGCATCATGAAAGCTTAATAGTGCATTATGTTCTGCTTTCTTCTTATTTGTGAGTGAGTTGGTGATGCATTATAACAGTGATATGTGTCATAGTGCATCCAGCATCATGTTGGGTAATGTTTATACGGAGTAATTTTGATGCTTTGGGTAATGGACTTCATAAGAGATGAAAATGATTTGGTTAGACTGTATTTGTGATTTGCTGCTGCAAATTTGGTGAGTTTG